GCTGTGAGGGGGAGATGACACGGGATGATATGGGATGGGTAATGTGTATATGATGGAATGATAAAGTCGATGTATATATTGCAAATGAACGTTCTTGAGTAACGAAACTATGTCCACTATGCTTGTCCGTATGAGGTACGTAGCGTGCCATTGCCAAACGAATCCGGATTGAAGCAACATACACTGAGAGACGACTGCAAGTTCAGACGGGAGAACGACGCATACCAGCGCTTCAGAATCGAGTGAATAGAACCTGCTGCAACGAATTCGAATATGTCATAATTCGACTTGCATTCCCATTCTATCTCCTCACAGCTTAAAGCTGCCTGCGCCCCTCTTCGCAGCCTCCTTAACCTCCTTACCCTCCACATCAGTAATAACACCCTTCCGTCCAATAATCTGCACACCACCCTTCTTAAGATCCGACACAAGTTGCTTCTTCTCTCCCCTATTCTTCTCCTTGCCCTCCGTCTTCTTCTGCACCGGCTTATTAAGCCCAGCCTTCTTCGCCCTCTCCTTTGCTCGTCTCCTTCTCGACATCTTCTCTTCCCGCGACATCTCGTCGTGGGCAACTGGCATGCCGCTCTTGGTAACGATCTCACTCTTGCTCTTGTCCTCGCCCGGCTTGTAGATTTCTTGCGGCGCGAGCATACTTGCGCTCGCGACTTCGCCGCCGGCCGTGGGCCGCGCATCTTCCATTTCGATGGCGGGCGCATCAGTGCGGATTTCTAGGTTGGGTGCTGCGGGCTTGGGCTTGAAGTGCGAGGAGCTGAGGGAGTCGAGTTTGGCGGATATGCTCTTCCACAACGCAGTGATTTCGTCGTGTTCCTTCTTCAGCTTCTCGTCTTTGGCTTCGACGAAGTTGGGGTCTGTCTCTCGTAGATGCTCTTCTTCGTAGATTTCGGCGAGGCCTTTGCCGGACTTTGTGTCGTCGAGCTCGAAGCGGCCGCGTCGGGGGCCGGTGGCGAGGTCGTCGGGGCGGCGGCGGTGGATCTCGTCGAATTCGCCGGCGAGGATGCGGCGCTTGATGAGCGCTTCGATGTCTTCTGAGGTTTCTTGTGTGACTATTGGTACGGGTTTGCCGGCTCGTTCGAACTCGAGGTTCTCTTCGAGAAGCGAGTTTACTGGTCGATCTGCTGCGCGTGCTTCGCCAGATAGCTGCCATTCTCGTTTTGCAACGTTGGCGGCTTCGAGTTTCCTGATCTCCTCTGCGATCTTGGCCTGTCTCCGCTCGTGTGTTGATCGTCTCGACTTCGGGTCTGAGGGGTCTACGTCGGAGAGGTCGCCATCGCTTTCCATGTCATCGTCATCTTCGAAGAGATCTCGGTGTACCCTGGCCATGGTTCCTTCCACGTCCTCCTCGACTTCCTCGGCTGGTTGCGACTGCTTCTCCGGGAAGTTGTGGGGGTTGGGTCGTCCGCGCTTCTTGCCATTCTTGTTTTTGCTCGCCTTTTGTGCAGGAGGCGCGAAGAAGTCCTTGTACATGACGTTGTTGGCGTTCATACCGGTGTCAAGACCGTCCAGGTCACCATCCTCAAGGTCGTCCTCATCGCCACTGTCGCCTTCCGGTGCGTTCAGATCAACGTTGCCGAAGGTTGGTCCGCCCTCGTCAGACTCATCGTCGGATGCATCTCCTGCGATCCCATTGGCTTTGCCTGTGGATGGGCCGTCTTCCATGGGGTCTGCCTCCCAGTTTACTTCGTCATCGTCGCTGTCCACACCCTCTCCCCTCTGATCCTGCTGCTCTAGGAAGTCAGTCTGCTTGTTGAAGTCGTCTATGGAGAAGAATCCGTCGTTGAGACCGTTGGGGTCGGGTTGGTAGGTTTCTGCGGGCGCATCGTCTGAGGCATCGTCGGAGAAGATGCCGTCTGCTCCATCTTCCATGTCGATGTCCTCTTCGTCCGGCTCGCCATCAAGCGCGTCTTCGTCCTCGTCTTCGTCCACACCATCGTATTCCCAGTCCACGCCCTCTTCGCCAATGTCTGATTCAGTGTGGTACTCCTCCTCGGCCTCTTCAATGCCCTCGTCGTCGTCTTCCTCGCCATGACGGATAGGCACAAGGCCACCGTCGTGGTCGGGCAAAGAAAGTTCAATCTCATCCGTTGTCGCTTCGACGATCTTGCGCGTCTGTTCGAACACCTGGTTTACGCCGAATCCGTCCAAGTGCACCTTCTTCAGGTGTAGCACGCTGATATCGTCATCGTAGCCGCCGCCCCGCTTCCGCTTCTTGCGCAGATCTTGTTGTCGCTGTGATTGCGACGCGCTTACGCCGGCGGCTACTGGATCGAGATATCGCTTCGCAGCGGCAAGGAAAGTCGCATTGAGCTGCGCCGTGGGCTGGAGGAAGGCTAGCGGCTTGGTGAGCAGACTTGTAGGCGAAGTCGCTGCGGCGGGTTGGAGTTCCATGGGCGGCGGTTGAATGGAGCCGATGGAGAGAGTGTGGGAAGAGATTGACGTGTCGGGCGAGTGGGAAGGCGGCGCCATGCTCTGGATGTCTGGCAAAGGCTGGCGGCGGGTGAATGCGCAAATGGTTGCACTGAAGTTCGCGCCTGCCGCTGAACTTTTTTGGTGGAGCTGGTGGTCAAAGCGTGCGTTAGCCCCCTCCGCTCTCTACCATCTTCTCCGACTACATGCACTGCACGTCAACAACCTACATCGTCCGGCACATGACTTCCCCTTCGCGCTATCTTTTACTTTCACTCGAGCAATTTTGTCTAATGCGTTGTCGTTCCTACGCTCCCACCGGTAGAATCAGCCTGCAAATCAGCATTGAGAACATCCTGACGCAAGTGGATGCATATCCTGCGCTGAACACGACGTGGACCATTTCGAATCTGTTTGAGCGGTAAAATACATTCGACGCTACTACGAACAGACTACTTGGAAGGTATTATGAGACATGCTCCTTGACCTCCGGCACATGCTTTGCCAGTTCCTCTACAATCTCATTCCACACCCTCAGCGCAAGCTTCTCATTTTCTTCTGCCACGATATTTGGCTTATCAGTCTGAATCTTGTCATTCGCCCAGAACTTCCCATGCAATTCCTCGTTCTGCGACGCGCCAGTAATGTATATGTTGGCTCCTTGATCCGCCGTTCGGAACGCCAACGTATGCACGATCGCCCGTACGATCTTGACACCAGGAAACTTGATATCGCGGTCGATGTTCGTAATGACTGCGCCGGGACACGTTGCCGTAATGATGACTTCGCTGGACGGGATTTTCTTCGCGAGCTCTATGATGGCGTATCTCTGGAGAAGCTTCGAATAACCGTACTGCTTCTGCGCGCCGGCAAAGGTTTCTTCCCTGTTGAACTCGGGCAGGATCGCGGGTTTGTTTCGAACGTCATCGGAGATGTTCATCACCGTGTGCATGCCCGAGTTGACGAACTGCAGTACAGGTATCTTCCCTGTATGCTTTTGCGATTCTTTCAACTTCGGCAAAAGGAGTATACCGAGCAGAATGCTGGAAAGTGTGTTGACTTGTAGGTCTCCCTCCCAGCCATGCTTCGACTGTTGGTAGACGGTGTTGAAGATTCCAACGTTGAGGACAGCGACGTCCAAATGGTCGAGTTCGCTGACGGCTCGTTGCGCAAATTTGACGACACTATCGTAAGAAGTCATGTCCAGATCCCAGACTTCAAAGTGGACAGCTTCGCCGGCATCTGCTTCGAGCTTGCTCTTGGTCGCCGCTCCCTTGGCCTCGTCTCGGGCTGTGATGATGATCTTTGATGCTCCCAGCTTCGCGAACTTGGCTGCTGCCGCATACCCTAGCCCAGAGGTGGCGCCTGTGACTAGGACATTTCGCCCTGCAAAGGACTCAGTGGACTCCTTGGGCAGAGCGCCCCACTTGTTCTTTACCATTCCAACGATCATCTCCATGGTATCGGATGTTTAGAGAGGAATTGCTTTTTCTGATTTGAAGACAGATATTGGGGTTGTTCGAAACGAGGCAAAGAACCACCGGCAAGGGGAATCAATGTACTTTGTACCTTAGTATGCACAGATGCCGATGAAGGGCCGAGCACGGCTTAATCTTCAAAGTTTAAGGCGCTCACGGATCGTCCGGAACCCAGCAACCCGTAGTCGATTGCGCGTGTATTCTCAGGTCGCCCGTCGTACACAGCGTATAGTCTAATGACAACAGACATTGGCTCTTTTCGACTTCCCTGACAGCCTTTGGCCGCCGAGATGACATGTTCAAAGGATCCCCAGATGGCATCTCGGAACTTCGCTTCATCCGGAGTATGGGCTGAGAGGTCATTTCATCGAGGTATATCCGTAATGTCGTAGAGAGACGCCTGCAGTACTTGAAGGGCGAGCTATTGCATTGTAAGATGAATGGAGTGCTTCTCACCAGTCTTATATTATCACCACCTACTTCTACCATTCTGTCTCATGTGAGGAAGACGTGCCCGCGGAAGCGAACTTACGTGATGCTCTAGCAAGACAGCGAAAGCCGGACGCAAGCTAATAGGTGGGTGGGTGACCCTCTATCTCAACTACAACGCGTCTAATTTCAATTCTAAAAATGCAGTTTTCTTCGCAGCTTTGTAGGGTATATGTTGTATATTTCTTAGAATTTATTTACTGCGTTTTAGGATGAAAAAGTGGTGTTGTTCAAAATTCTAGATCCGGCTCTCGCTGTCCTGCCAGAGGTGATGGTCGGCATTAAAGTGTTCAAAGGGTCGAGCCTCCCGAGGTCTGGTGCGATGGTCTGAGAGACGTGCTCACTTGGCGGCCCCCGCATGCTCTCGGCTGTTACCCCAGGCCGGCGCCACCAATGGTCGGTACCCTAGAATTGGAACTGGCCCAGCCTCTCCATCTCCATCACATCCGACGAACTTTCTACTACGCTTCACGTTCGAGCCTGAGATCTTTCCGCGACGCAACTTGGGTGTGTCCGTTGGTGAGCCGGTACGTCGATAATGGTGCCCAGGTGGGTTCGGCAAACATCCTCCGCTGACCTGCAAGCCAGCATCAACAACTATGTATCACGATGGAAGAGCGCGAATACCAGCTGCCCGCATGTCAGAAGTGCAAACTGCGCAAAGTCAAATGCGACAGACAAGCACCCAAATGCACAAACTGTAGAAAAGGGAATGCCGCCTGCATCATCGTCGATGCTATCACTGGCGAACAGTATGCACGTGACTACATTCGGCAGCTGGAAGAGAAGGAACTCAACCTGCAGCGTAGGCTGGGCGATCTTGACGACACAGGCGTTGCGACACCAGCCTCCACCGAAAGATCGGACGTTGCCAATCGGACACCAACAGGCCCTGAGACGGTAACGAGCTCAGATACCCAGAGCGGGTTTGTTGGCGACGGCAGCGGCCTGGGCTTCTTGCAGAATATCCTTTCTGATACCAAGTGGCAACACCATCGCGCACAAATCCTCGAGCAACTTGCGAAGCGCCCTCGTATTGCTACGCATCGACCTGTCGCTCGAGCACTACCACCACTGGCGCAGGCACGACAATTGTTTGACAACTACTTCAATCGGTTTCACGTCCACCATACTTTTCTCCTTCGTAGCGAGATGCTAGACGTATTCAGCAGGGTCTACTCCCTCTCGCCAACACCAGAGAGACCCTCGGCCCAGGACTACTTTCGCCTCTTTATGGTATTCGCGATCAGCGATACGACCAGGCATCGCGAGTGTCAGGCTGATGGCGGAAGTGCCGAGCATCCGTACGGGTATTATCTTGCGGCTGAACATTATCTTGCGAGCATACCGTTGATCAAAGACGCGGAAGCTATCCAGAACCTATTACTGATAGCGAGATTCGGCATGTACCATCACATTGGAGCATCGATATGGGAAATATCCCGCTTGTGTATGCGGCAGTGCATTGAATGGGGTCTTCATTCGAAGGCACAGGACGGCTTGAGCCCATTGAAAGAACAACACCAGCGCAGGATATTCTGGGAGTGCTACGTCCACGACCGTTACAGCTCGGGCATATTAGGTCGCCCTTTCGCTCTTCTCGAGTCGGAGATAAGCATGCCACTACCGATTGATGCTGACGACGAAACAATCGTAACGTCTGGTGCTAATGTACTTGAAGATGTTCCTTCCGCCACGAACGTTAGCCCAAGCGAGCTGTCAGTCAACCTGTTTTGCATCAAGCTGCGACAGCTAAGCTCTCGGGTGCACACTGCCTTTTATACTGGTCGAAAGCCCGCCTCATATAATAGCGAAGACAGCACTCAGACCTCCAGGTTTCAATCGATAGGCCACATATATTCGTCATTCATACAATCCGACAAAGAGCTCCGCGCCTTGCGGTCGTCAGTACCAGTCTTCGTAGACCCCAAATGTCTATACGAGCGGTCTGAATGGCATGACTTTATGTACGAGAAGGACCGTCTCCTGCTTGCCCGTGGCGCCATGCACAACCTACCAGCACGGCAGTTCTCCGGAACGTCCATTGTAAGGGAGATACTGAAAGTGTGCTATCAATCAGCGATACATACGATACAACTGTATGCAGACCTTCGACGCAGAAACGCTATCACTTGGACACGCAGCTACTTTCAGATGATCTTTACCGCAGGTCTTACTGTCATCTATTGCATTATCTTGGGTGTTTTGAGCGACAATGACGAGCTCTCCGTCACTAACACTGAAACTCTGCCAACACTCGACACTTGCAGCTCATTGTTAAACTACTTCAAGGACAAAATGCCAGACGCAGGTTCTTTCGCCACTGTCTTCAGCGTCATACTGGAAGAGTTCGTCAAAGATCGTTTTACATCTGCGTTACAGGTGTCAGAAAATGTCCCCGCAAACCCAATTCAGCCAAGTTCTCAACAGCCTCCAACCCATGATACGCAAATCTACCCCGATCACCACCTCAACGCGGATTCGCTGCACTCGAGCATGGACACCATCACTGCAGATCACTTACAATCGGATGGCCAGCAGCACGAACGGGCAAACCTGGATCACTTCATACTTGGGGACTTTCCTGACCTTCCAAATCACCAAGATTCGCAAGACTTCGGCATGGGTCTAACTAATGACCTTTTGAACCAACTTGAATATGGACTGGGCGAGTATGCTTGGGGCTCGTTGAACACTAACTTAGATTATTGGAATTCTTTCTCCTACAACTAAAGAAAGAAAACGGCCAAGAAAAGGTACGGCAACGCTTCAGTGAGCAGCACCCTAGCTAGATCGCTCGGACAGTCTGGATATAATCATACAATCGATCCACTGCCATCATCGCAGTCTCCATCTGGGTCTCGGCCGTTGCAGCACCTACGTGCGGAGTGCTCACGACCCGTCCCGTTTCCCACAAACTACCATAGATCTCTTTGGTCGGAGGCTCATGCTCGTGGCAGTCTAGACCGGCTCCCCAAATCAGACCTTCTCTCAAGGCGCGTTCGAGATCGGCCTCATGCACAATTCCGCCTCTGGCCGCGTTGATCAAGATTGAAGTAGGCTTCATGATCTTGAATTGTTCATAGGATATGAGACCCCGGGTTTGTGGTATTAGAGGAACGTGTAGTGTTATCACATCCGAAGCTCGAAGAACCTCCTCAAGAGTGTCTGCTCGGGTATGCGCAATATCCTCCCAAGCATCCTTTGGCAGTAGTGGATCGTATGCTACGATGCGACACCCTAATCCGCCTTGGAAGATTTGCGCGACCTTTCGGCCAATGTTACCCATACCCACGATCCCGACCGTCTTCTTGTTGATGATCAAACCCGAGCAGGTCTCTTTCGGCACGCTAAGCCCGGCACTCTGCAGCGCTGTTGTGCGACCAACCTCGCGAGCTACAGACATCGTGAGCGTAAGCACCGTCTCCGCGACAGCCTGCGCATTTACTCCGGGCGTGTTGAAGATCTTGATACCGCGTGCTCTGCAGGCTTCGCCATCAATCTTGTCGATTCCAACGCCCTGTTTGCCGATGGCTTTGAGGTTCTTGCAGGCGTCGATGTCTTCTGCCGTAAGGTATGATCCGCGAATGATCAGGTATTCGGCTCTCTCTTTCCATCCCGAGTGCCTGGGGTCTGAAGGTAGTATCGCGTTGAACAGCGACTGGGCGCGTTTCGTAGCTTCGGGGTGTAATGTATCGAGCAGGTAAACAGTAGCCTTGTCTAACCCATTGGACGGTGACGAAGCGGGGAAAGTGTGCTCTGACTCGATGAGTGCAGGAGCCATGATAACAATGATCGCGTGAAGCAAGCGACCCAGATAAGTCTGCAAGGGGAGTTTGAAGTCCAAAATAATGTCGGACTGCGCGTCTTGATGGTATATGGCAGCCACACCCAAGATGATGTGTACCTAGATGTATGTGGATAGCCGCACTACTCACACGCCGGGCATTTGAACATTCGACATCTGGATCTGATGCAGAAGCCAGTGCCGTGTCAGTATACCGGCGGATTGGTCATGCGCGGATCGACAGAGCTCGTCGGACGACCACCGAAAGGGCCGCTGCGCTAGCCTCGGGGGGTGTCCGACTGCCCGAGCGAAACGACCCCTCACCCATGTCTTTTCGATGCCACCCTGCCTTGTCGGATTGGAACACCGCGCACTATGATTTCCGCACATCGGAACTAGATCTAGAAGCGAAAACTACGTAAGCGGCAAGATAGTCTTAATAGGATTTGGGCGTTATCCGGCTGTGGTTGGCTTTGCCCGCTCATACACTGCCGAAGATGAGTCGTCGCACATGGCACGACACCGCGATCTCAGACGCGCTCACTAGGCTCTTGAGACTTTCTGTTGAGGTTGGTCGAGACTGCATTGCGACGAGTATGTTCCGAAAGCCCTGGAAGGCAGTGTAGTGCATCGAGAGAATAGTGAGACTGCTCAGGCATTGGAGCACGCATCTTTGTCGCTCCTGGGTAGGCGGCTGCGACGCGGTAAATACACCGATGAAGAATATTAGATATCCATCGAGAGCTCCCGGCGCTAGCTCCTGACTGCTGAGCTGATGTTCGATGGATATCGCATACCCGACGAAGTGTTCCTCGATGCGGCCCAACATCATGTCTCGCCCTGGGTCCTGTGCGAAGCTCGGACACTTGAGTAATTCTACCAGACCACGGGCATGCAATTGGTTTTCGAGTAGACCACCTGCTGATAGTGCTCTTGGCAATGTCTCTCTCCAGTGGCATAGATTGACGAAATGGCAAAGCAGGTCTTCATCGGTATGTTTTCGAATTGAGCGCAAGAGTTGCGCATGTTGGATCAAAAATCGCAGGGCGATCAGTTCCGTATCTGTACCTCTCGGTTGTGGTGACACTGGTGGCGACACCATGATATTGCCATCGTTGAGACAAAATGGCCGGTCCATAGCCGTACTGAGGTGAGTGTCCAGGATGTACAACGTCCAGAAAGCTCTTCCATTTTGCCTCTTACTCTGGCTATCCGAGCTTATATCCGAGACGCGAGACGTGTGCATACCCGCAGAGATGCAGCGTGTCATAGCCAGTCCAAGTAGATGCCAGGACGATCCGCAATACGTTGTGTAGAGTGAACATATGGCAAGGGCTGTGAGACACTGCACGACTGCCAAGTCGTTGGACTGACTGAGTATGCGTGGCATGAGTTGCGAGGCCGTTGTTGTTAGCTCAGATATCAAGACTACCGCGAAGCTGTGATTTGGCGATAGCAGAAAGCCGAGCGCAATGCCTACTCTGACAAGTAGGATCTTCTCTGGCGACTCATCCATCATCATGTCAATATTTGTATCTCGCTCGGCCGTCACGACGATACTGTACAGATCTTCGAGCTCGCTGCGCGTCATGACGGGAAAGGTTGTGGGAGCTATTTTGACAAACCGTCTGAAGGCTTCAGCCGCCTGAGCACCATCCAGTGTACTGCCCTGAGAGAATAACTCGTTACGAAAGTCTGCCATAGGCCCGGAAAGTGATGGGTTTGTTCCGATGGGGCTGCTCGGGTTGGTGTTGCCTATACTCGCCGCGGCAAGAAATAACGTCGAGAACGAAAGTCCCTGGTTCGAGAATGGCTGTCGGTCTGTCGGCTCTGCCATTGCACTAAGACTCAAGTAATTGGCTTCGTGCATTGTATGGTGTAAGTCGTTGCTCGACCCGGGCTCGACTACCGATGAATCTATCGTCCCAGCATTTGGCCCCTGGGGAGTGCCAGACGCGGACAAATTGCTATTACAAGGCTGATTCGGTGATTCTTGATCGTTCGTGACCTCGTGCTGCATTTCGGAATGCCGGTTGCTCCTGGCCTCCAAAGCGGCAATTCTCGACTTCAAAGACTCAATGTATGAGACGGAAGACGGATCCGAAGCGTCGATTACGGAGCCAAGGCGACGCTGCACACATTGCGATGCGGCGACGCGACATTGCTGACACGTTGGCGTATCTCGAGAGCACTGGGTACTAAGTTAGTCTTTTGATGGTGTGAAGAAATTGCAGTGATCCTGTGCGCGGATTCGATCGCCAATTATGGGGGGAAACAGGTATCGAGCAGACTTGACGTGCTGCCATTTATGCACGAAGAAGGAGCGACCACCAACCTTCTGTTTCCGCTTCCAGCATCTTTCGCAGGCTTGCGATTGCAGGTCTATCATGTTGGTGAATGATGGTAGAGTTAGTCTCTGGGTTCAAAGATGGTGGTTTCGAAGTCGTGAAGGAACCGAGGTACCGGTTACCAAATCGGAAGCTAGCGCGTCTCGGGTCTCACAGCTAGAACTATTTTACGAGCGAGCGCTTTACATCTAATTATCGCGAATTTGATATATGTCATCACGGTTGAGTACATCCAGATTGGATATGTGTTTCGACATTCTGTTATAGAATATAAGATGTCGACATCTATGAGCTTGCTAATACATTCCCATGCCCGTTGACTTGATCGTTCATCTTCAATTCTTCCACTGTCACACTAGCCTTTTCTTTTGATGCATCGATAATCCCGTTACCCGACGCGATAAATGCTCCGTTCGTCTCAGGCTGGGCAGGCTCAGTAGAACTCTTGACCCTTGCATTCAGTTGTGCCATCTCGCCTGCTCGCTTCGTAGCTCCACCGAGTAGCAGCGGTCCATCTGTCGCCGCCATAACCCATCGCGCGCCCATCTTGCAGAACTTCTCCACAAGGTCTAATCTTGAGTGCAGGCCTCCTACGCCAACCCATTTGCCGTGCTTCTTGCAGGCGTCAATCGTCTTCTCATATACTTCGAGTAGCTGCGGGCTCTCGTATTGTCCTGGAATACCCAGCTCGGCGCACATGTCATTGGTGCCGATCAGTAGACTGTCAACGCCTTCCATGGCGGCTAGCTCTTCAACGCATTCGACTGCTTCAATCGTCTCTACCATGGGAATGACAAGGGTTTCGCGATTGCACACAGGACTCATTGCCTTGGCAGAAAGGTGTCGGTACTGGAATTGTGGCATATTGTTCGTCGAGGAGCGATGCCCAAGGGGCTGGAATTTGGCGGCGGCTACCACATCTTTGGCGTCTTGTACAGAGCGGATGTGTGGGACTATAACGCCCATGGCACCTCCGTCAAGTACCCGAGAGACGAAGAAGGGGTCTTTGGATGGGACGCGGACTATGGGTGAAATGCCGGCGTAAAGAGCTGCAATACATATCTGACCTATCCTACGTTAGCTTGAAGGTTTCTAGAGAGGGGCGGGGCTCTGAGGAGAGAACGTACTGGTCGTGTCCAAGTCAAAGGTTGAGTGCTCCATGTCGATAAGAATACCATCAAATCCCGCGGTCTTCGACATCATCGGAAGCTCAACGCTGCGAACAAGCTTCACGGACAGCGTGTAGGCTACCTCATCGCGGAGCATCTTCTCCCGGAATGAGTTGTGAAGAGTGAGTTCCGACATGTTTGCGGGTGTGATCGAGCTTTGGGGTTGGATGAATGATTCAACAAGAGGCGATTGGATAGACTTTGAGCTATACGAGAGTTCTTGTTGTAGCAATCCCGACTGCCATATGTACGTGAAGGCAACCTCCTGTAGAATGAGCTTACCCAGCATAGTAGTGTACGCCAGCGGCCGCAGCCGGTCACCGTGATG